CTATCTATCTATCCATCTATCATCAACCTACCTACCTACCCATTTATCTATTTATCCATCCATCCACCCACCCACCCACCTATCTACCTATATCTACATCATCCATCCATCCATCTCTATCTGTCTGTCTGTCATCATATCTTTCTCTCTCCCCCCCCCCTCTATCCCTATCTATCATCTGTCTATCACACTACCCCTGTATCTCAAATTTCCATCTATTTCTATCCTCTTTCCGACTCTCTGGATTCATCCATTTATCATTCTCTCTCTCTAATTTTAAAACCCCTCATCTCCCTCAGAAAGAGAGACAGGGCAGTGCACAAATAAAGTAGAAAAGAAAACCACAGAAAACATATATCAAATTTAAAAAGAGGCAAAGGACGTTAAAAATGAATCAAATGGTGTCTGGGGGGGGGGGCTTTCAGCGCACTAAGCAAGCCCCCATTGCAAGCTTTGAAGCCTTTCTGGAAGGCCAGGAGGGTGGGGTCCTCTTCGCCTTTGGGGAGGGAGGGGTCCTCTGTCCCTCATGGGGCCCCAGAAGACCCCCGGCCCACCGCTCCTTCAAACTAAAGGACCCCAGGGGTCTTCATTGCCTCTCCCCCTCTCCTAAGATCTCCCATCTGCTTTGCCTTCTCCCAGGGATGGAGATTCCTGGGGGGGGGGGGGGGGTTGAAGGTAACAGACTGGCACAGGCTGAAGTGGGGAGGGGCTCAGCCTGGCTAGATCAGAGACCCCTGGACCCCTGGTGCAGAGGGGGTGGGGGCTTGTTGTAGCCAATCAGCTTGGGCTCAGCTGCCAGGGGCTTGAGCCTCAGGTGAGGGAGTGGACCGGGCAGCAGGTGGCTGGATGCCTGGCAGGTGGGGGCAGGGGGTGGGTGGGCTTCAAGACCCACCCCCCCCACCATCTGTGTGTCCAGACCGGGAGGGTGGAAGAGGAGAGCCAGGTAGAGCAAGGACATCCTTCATCGGTGTTTTATGCATTTATTAATTTTATAGGCGAGGGGTCCGTGGTGCTCTTTGCTTGCTTTGTTGCGGACGTTTGATGAGTTTCCATCCGTTACTAGTGGTCCTGCCTTCTGGTCCTTTGGAAAGTAAGAGGAACCCCCCTCTTTTTTGGGACAGCCCCCCCTCCCAAATACTGGAAGACTGCTGTCATGTCCCCCCCCCCTCCTAGTCCTTCTTTTTTCTAGACTGGCCGTTCCCAATTCCTGCAACCGTTCTTCTTGGTATGTTTTAGCCTCCAGCCTCCCCCCCTTACGCTCTCCCCCCCCAATCTTTGTTGATCTTCCCAGCACAAAAAGACAACCGGGAGCAAATAGATTTCATCATAAATCAACAATTTTTTTTTTAAAAAAAGGATCTTATCCTGTCTCGCACTCTGGGCCAAATGTGGCCCAGGCAAAGCAAACATGTTTTTTGCATTGTTCTTGCAGCTAAGATCTCTGCAGCCTTAGGGAGAGCTTTCTGATCTCCGCTGGAGGTAGGAAGATAACCGGCCCACGTAACACACAAACACACACACACACACACACACACACAAACACACACAATGGCTGAAGCTATGGGCAAGGTTGCAAAAGAGGGTAGAGAGAACACAGGAAAGGGGAAAAGCTTTTCTCACGAGGTCTGGCGGACGCTGTCGAGAAGCTGAAAACCTCTGGGCTGATTTTATTTACCTTCTCTCTCCCCCCCCTCTGTCCCCCCCTCTCTCTCCCGTCTCTCCCTCTTCCTCTCCCTCTCTCCCCCTCCCTCTCCCTCTCTACCTCTCTCCCTCTCCCTCCCTCTCTCTCTCCCGATCTCCTGCTCGCTCTCTCTCCCTTTCTTTCCCTCCCTCCCTCTCCCTTTCTCCCTCTCCCCCTCCCTCCACCTCTCTCCTGCCCCCCCTCTCCCCTCTCCCCCCTTCTCCCTCTCCCCCTCTCTCTCTGTCTCCCCCTCTCTCCCTCTCTCCTCCTCTCCCTCTCTCTCCCTCTCCCTCTCTCCCTCCCTCTCCCTCTCCCTTTCTCTCCCTCCCTCCCTCTCTCTCGGTCTCTCCCTCTCCCCCCTCTTCCTCTCCCCCTCTCCCTCTCTCTCTCTCCCTCCCTCCCCCCTCTGTCCCTCCTCTCTCCCCCTCCCTCTCCCTCCCCCTCTCTCTCCTTCTCCCCCTCTCTCCCTCTCTTTCCTCTCTCTCCCTCCTCCCTCTCTCTCTAACTTTCTCCCCTCTCTCTCCCCCTCCCTCCCCCCCTCTCTCCCCTCCCCCCCTCCCTCCCCCCTCTCTCTCCCCCTCCCTCCCTCCCTCCCCTCCCTCCCCCTCCCTTCCCCTCTCTCTCCCCCCTCTCTCCCTCTCTCCTTCTCTCTCTCCCTCCTTCTCTCTTGGTTCAGCCGTGGGGAAATCTTCTCCTCCGTCCTGCAGGTGGCAGGGATTAGAAAAGAGAGAATAAATAGGTTATTACTTGGGATGGAGAGCAAGAAACTCATCAAGGAGAGAAGCAACCTAGAATTAAGGAGAAACTTCCTGACAGTGAGGACAATTAACCAGTGGAACAACCTGCCTCCAGAAGCGGTGAATGCTCCCACACTGGAGGTTTTCAAGAAGAGACTGGATAGCTATTTGTCTGAAATGGTATAGGGTTTCCTGCCTGAGCAGGGGGTTGGACTAGATGACCTCCAAGGTCCCTTCCAACTCTGCTATTCCATTCCATTCTATACCTTTTTACAGCCACAAAGGCAGTTGTAAAATTGGGTGCAGTCACATGTCGACCCACGTAACGACCGTTTCAGTCATAAAGCGAGGACTACCTGTAATCACGGACTCCCCAGGTTGTGCATACTCTTGTCTGCAAGAATGCAACCCCCTTCAGAACCCTTCTGTTTTTCCTCAAAGTGAGCTCGGCCCCGGAAGGTCCGGTTTTAAATATTTTCTCTGCCGCGAATTGCTTCGATGTCAGGGCAAGTCTCCATCTGCAATAAGAAACACGCAAAATCTGGAATGCTTTACGGGAATTCTCAAGGAAGGGGAATTTTAAAACAGCGAAAAACATGTTTGGGACATTCCAAAGCCCTCTGCATCGATGCAAAGCGATAATGTGGGACGTTTAAAGTAAATAAATTAATTAATTAAAAGCACCGTCGTGTTGTTGAAGCTGTTAGAGTTGGCCTTTTGAGCAGAAAAATTTAGGGTCATAATTCTCTAAATCTAGAAATCGTCTGTGCTGTATACATTAGGGAGGAGCAAATTGGCTTTTCTCAAGCAAAAATCACTTTAAGACGGGAGGCCTTCAACTCCCAGAATTCCCCAGCCAGCTATGCTGAAATCAATCCTTTAAATAAATGTTTTAGTCTCAATTGTGGTTGTAAGCCGAGGGCTATCTGTACCTCCTTCGGTCTCCCCAAGGCACAGGTGTCAGGTTTGTGTGTGTGACAATACAGGTGTGAGGTTGTGTGTGTGACAACACAGGTGTGAGGGTTTTGCCTGTGACAACACTGGTGTGAGGTTTGTGTGTGTGACAACACAGGTGTGAGGTTTGTGTGTGTTACGGCACAGGTGTGAGGTTTGTGTGTATGACAATACAGGTGTGACAGGTGTCAGGTTTGTGTGTGTGACAATACAGGTGTGAGGTTGTGTGTGTGACAACACAGGTGTGAGGGTTTTGCCTGTGACAACACTGGTGTGAGGTTTGTGTGTGTGACAACACAGGTGTGAGGTTTGTGTGTGTTACGGCACAGGTGTGAGATTTGTGTGTATGACAATACAGGTGTGAGGTTTGTGTGTGTGACAATACAGGTGTGAGGTTGTGTGTGTGACAACACAGGTGTGAGGGTTTTGCCTGTGACAACACTGGTGTGAGGTTTGTGTGTGTGACAACACAGGTGTGAGGTTTGTGTGTGTTACGGCACAGGTGTGAGGTTTGTGTGTATGACAATACAGGTGTGAGGTTTGTGTGTGTGACAATACAGGTGTGAGGTTGTGTGTGTGACAACACAGGTGTGAGGGTTTTGCCTGTGACAACACTGGTGTGAGGTTTGTGTGTGTGACAACACAAGTGTGAGGTTTGTGTGTGTGACAACACAGGTGTGAGGGTTTTGCATGGCAACACAGGTGTGAGGTTTGTGTGTGTTACGGCACAGGTGTGAGGTTTGTGTGTGAGACAACACAGGTGTGAGGTTTGTGTGTGACAACACAGGTGTGAGATTGTGTGTGTGACAACACAGGTGTGAGGGTTTTGCGTGTGACAACACAGGTGTGAGGTTTGTGTGTGTGACAACACAGGTGTGAGGGTTGTGTGTGTGACAACACAGTTGTGAAGTTTATGTGTGTGACAACACAGGTGTGAGGGTTTTGTGTGTGACAGCACAGGTGTGAAGTTTCTGTGTGACAACACAGGTGAGGTTTGTGTGACGGCACAGGTGAGGTTTGTGTGTGTGACGGCACAGGTGAGGTTTGTGTGTGTGATGGCACAGGTGTAAGGGTTGTGTGTGTTATGGCACAGATGGGAGCTTTATGTGTATGACAAGTGTGAGGTTTGTGTGACAACACAGGTGTGAGGTTTGTGTGTTACAGCACAGGTGTGAGGTTTGTGTGTGTGACAACACAGGTGTGAAGTTTATGTGTGTGACAACACAGGTGTGAGGGTTGTGTGTGATGACACAGGTGTGAGGTTTGTGTATGTGACAACACAGGTGTGAAGGTTGTGTTTGCCAAGGCAACTGGTGTGAAATCCGTGTGTGTAATTACTTAAAGGCATAATAACTGAAAAACTGGGCATTGTGAGTCACCTGGCCCTGGCAGCCAGAAAGGAGCTGTTGTGCGTGTGGTGTGGCTGTGTCAACCCAGCAAATCTCCCCCCCCCCATGGAGTGTGTATGTGGGGGGTCCAACCTCACCCCCCTTTCTGTCTGTCTTTGCTGGAGCAGGGGAGGGAGGGAGGGTGTGCCAGCCCCTCTGTTCCCCCCACCCTGTGTCCTGCAGCACCCCCCCCGCTTGCAACCCCCCCCCCGACTAACTGGGCTCCCTGGGCTCTTGCAGGGGGCCGATGGCCTGTCGGAGCCGGAGGGCGTCGCACTCAAGCGCGTGGCGGTGGTGGAGGACTTCTTCGACATCATCTACGCCATGCACGTGGAGAGCTCGGCCGAGCCGGGCAAGGCCCCCAAGCACGCCGGGCAGAAGAAGACCTACCGGGCGGTGAGCATCCCAACCCCCCCCTGCGCACTATGCCTTGGTGGGGCAGGGGAGGAGGAGGGAGGAGGAGGCGCTGGCAGGCAGGGGAGGAGGGTGGGTGGCAAGGGAGGGGGAACCCAGGGTGGGAGGAGGGAGGAGGAGAGGAAGGAACCGTATAGAAGGAAAACAAGAGGAGAAGAAGGAAAAAGGAGGAGGAATAGTGGAAAAAAAGGAGGAAGAATGGAGGAGGAGGAGGAGGAGGAGGAGGAGGAGGAGGAGGAGGAGGAGGAGGAGGAGGAGGAGAAAGAGAAGGGGAAGGAACGGTGCAGAAGGAAAAGAAGAGGAGGAGAAGGGGAAGGAATGGTGGAAAAAGAGGAGGAGGAAGAGAAGGGGAAGGAACGGTGGAGAAGGAAAAGAAGAGGAGAAGGGAAAGGAATGGTGGAAAAAGAGGAGGAGGAGGAGGAAGAGAAGGGGAAGGTACTGTGGAGAAGGAGGAGGAGGAGGAATAATGGTGGAGAAGGTAAAGAGAAGAAAAAGGAGAAGGGGAAGGAGGAGAAATGGTGGAAAAAAGGAGGAGGAGGAATGGAGGAGGAGGAAGAAGAGAAGGGGAAGGAACGGTGCAGAAGGAAAAGAGGAGAAGAAGAGGAGGAGAAGGAGAAGGGGAAGGAATGATGGAAAAAAAGGAGGAGGAATGGAGGAGGAGGAGAAGGGGAAGGAACGGTGCAGAAGGAAAAGAAGAGGAGGAGAAGACGAGGAGAAGGGGAAGGAATGGTGGAAAAAGAGGAGGAGGAAGAGAAGGAACGGTGCAGAAGAAGGAGGAGGAGGAGGAGGAGTAATGGTGGAGAAGGTAAAGAGAAGGAAAAGGAGAAGGGGAAGGAAAGGGGGAGAAGGAAGTAGAATAGAATATCTTTATTGTCATGTGTATCTCACAATGAAATTAAACGCTGTCCACAGTGCACACTACACACAAGTAAAAACCACAAGTAAGAACATACATTATATACATATTTTCACATTCTATTCAACACTGTGCTGCCCCTAATATTGCACTTCAATGTTGCCCTATGCCAGGGGTATTTAGTATGGTTACAGCTCTGGGACAAAAGCTATTTTTTTAGCCTATTTCTCTTTGGAGGAAGGAAAAATGGAAGAGGAGGAGGAGGAGGAGGAGGAGGAGGAGGAGGAGGAGGAGGAGGAGGAGGAGGAGGAGGAGGAGGAGGAGGAGGAGGAGGAGGAGGAGGAAGACTGTGGGGTCCTTGGTGCTCTCTGAGCTTGGCGGTCTTCTTGCAGACGTTTCATGACCCAGCTAGGTAACAACATCAGTGCTAGAAGGGAGTGGGATGGGAGGAGGAGGAGGAGGAGGAGGACAACGACGACAACTGTGGGGCCCTTGGTGCTCTCTGAGCTTGGTTGTTTTCTTGTAGACATTTCATGACCCAACTAGGTAACATTATCAGTGCTATAAGGGTGTGGGGTTTGTGGAGAGGAGAGGAGGAGGAGGAGGAGGAGGAGGAAGAGGAGGAGGTAGCACGAGGTAGCACAAGTGTGGGCTCCTTGATGCTCTCTGAGCTTAGTTTAAAAAGAACTTTGGTGGTGCCATGGTTACAATGTCGTATTGCAGGCAAAACTCTGCCCACAGTCAGGAGTTTGATCCTGACCGGCTCAAGGTCGACTCAGCCCTCCATCCTTCCGAGGTCGGTAAAGTGAGGACCCAGATTGTTGGGGGCAACAGGCTGACTCTGTAAACTGCTTAGAGAGGGCTGTAAAGCACTGTGAAGCGGTAGATAAGTCTAAGTGCTGTTGCTATTGTTTCCTTGCAGACGTTTCATTGCCCAACTAGGTAACATCGTCAGTGCTAGAAGATGCAAATTCCACTTACTTCTAGCACTGACGATGTTACCTAGTTGGGTAATGAAACGTCTGCAAGAAAACATCCAAGCTCGTAGAGTACCAAGGACCCCACAGTCTTCCTCCTCCTCTTCCTCCTCTCCACACACCCCACTCCCTTCTAGCACTGATAATGTTACTTAGTTGGGTCATGAAATGTCTGCAAGAAAACAGTCAAGCTCAGAGAGCACCAAGGACCCACAGTCGTCGTCCTCCTCCTCCTCCTCTCTACAAATTCTCCTCCCTTCTAACACTGATGATGTTACCTAGTTGGGTCATGAAACGTCTGCAAGAAAACAAGCAAGCTCAGAGAGCACCAAGGCCCCCACAGGTCTCCTCTTCCTCCTCCTCCTCCTCCTCCTCCTCCTCTCCACACACCCCACTCCCTTCTAGCACTGATAAAGTTACCTAGTTGAGTCATGAAACGTCTGCAAGAAAACAGTCAAGCTCAAGAGAGCAGCAAGGACCCTCCACCCTAAAAGGTTTGCCTCCGTCTGTCTATTCCCCCGGCCAGCCAGTCAGGTATAAAATGAGGGAGGGGAGATTATTTCTAGATTATTAAATAAATGATCAGGAATAAATTAGCCTTCTAGGCAACGGCAGCGGAGAAGCGAGATGCGATGAGTACTCGTCGGCCGGGCGTCCTTAATATAGTGAGAAAGAGAAAAATACTTCCTCAAATGAAATCAGAGCTAGACTGGATGGGAAGTTAACTCTTCCCAGGAAGGTGGGCCAATGGTGGTTTGAAGAAGCTGGATTGCAAATGGAGAGATCAGTCTAGCTGTCTTCTGTTGGAGCTGATCCTCAATCGCCGTTTCCCTTCCACTTGATTTCAGTTCCCAGAATTCCCCAGCCACCATGTTTCTCAATCTTGGCAACTAAGATAGGCGGACTTCAACTCCCAGAATTCTCCAGCTGGCATAACTGGCTACGGAATTCTGGGGGTTGAAGTCCATACATCTTCAAGTTCCTAAAGTTTAAAAAAAGTATTCTGCATGCTGTAATATTAGTGTCTGGGATATTTTTCAGTGCCAGCACTGAAAAAAGTTAATCCCTCGAATTAAAAACAAAATGTAAATGAAGAATTTTGGCGGGTCCAAGATAAATCTGGCCAAAAGTTTGGAAAAGCATTCTTTTATTTCTTGCATCACATAACAACAACCACAACATCAACAACAGCAGCAATGATGATGATGATGATGAAGTTGGAAGGGATCTTGGAGGTCATCTAGTCCAACCCCCTGCTCAGGCAGGAAACCCAATACCATTTCAGACAAAGACTTCCAGTGTTGGAGCATTCACACCTCCTGGATATTGGAGGCAGGATATCGGAAAGATTCAGAATAACAGAGCTGGAAAGGGACCTTGGAGGTCATCTAGTCCCGCCCCATGCTCAGGCAGGCGACCCTATGACGTTTTTGACAAATGGCTGTGCAGTCTCTTCTTAAAAACCTCCAGTGTTGGAGCATCTTTATCGCTTCTGGTGGGACATCACCCTATTGAAGACTTGAACCCTGGGGGTCTTGGATTCAGCTTCCCACCCGTTTCATCCCGTGATTCCCTTGATTTGAGCCACATCATATGTCTGCAACGGTACTAAAAATACCTCCATAAATCAATTCTTCCCCTAGCCCTTCAGAGGAAGGGCAGGCTATAAATCTGAAAAATAGCCAAACCTCTGAGCCACATTTCCCGTGAAAGGGACAGAGTAATTTTTTTCATTTGGGACCAAAGGACCAGCTCCCACATAAGCCTTTGTTTATTCTCATTTCTTATCCCATGACTTGTTAACGCCAAGCTGAACGTGGATGGTAAATTGATCCAGAAATTAGTTTCTTTTTTTACAAATTTGATTTTTTTCTGAGCAAATTGTTGGTACAATTACAGCCCCGGAAATTATTTGGAAATAATTAAGATCAGGATGGCTGTGAAAGTTGGACCATAAGAAAGGCTGAGCGCCAAAGAATGGAGGCCTTTGAACTCTGGTGCTGGAGAAGACTCCTGCGAGTCCCCTGGACTGCAAGGCGATCCAACCGGTCAGTCCTGGAGGAGATCCACCCTGACTGCTCTTTAGAAGGCCAGATCCTGAAGTGGAAACTCAAGTCCTTTGGCCACCTAATAGAAGGAAGGACTCACTGGAGAAGAGCCTGATTCTGGGAAAGATGGAGGGCAAGAGAAGAAGGGGACGACAGAGAAGGAGGGGGCTGGATGGGGTCCCTGAAGCAGGAGGTATGAACTTAAATGGACTCCAGAAGATGGTAGAGGACAGGAAGACCTGGAGGAACGTGGTCCATGGGGTTGCGATGGGTCGGACACAACTTCGCAACTAACAACAAGTTAGAGTGCAGTACTGCAGGCCACTTTAGCTGACTGTGTTCAGCAGGTCAGCGGTTCAAATCTCACCGGCTCAAGGTTGACTCAGCCTTCCATCCTTCCGGGGTAGGTAAAATGAGGACCCAGATTGTTGGGGGCAATGTAAATATATATATACATTGCTTACTGGTGTACACCGCTTAGAGAGTGCTTGCACTTAAAGCGGTATATAAGTCTCATAAATAAATAAATAAATAAATAAACAACAAGATCATGATATCGCTTATACCTATAGACTGTCCTCATCTTACAACAATTGATTTGATGACCGTTCAAAGTTACAACGACGCTGGCAAAAAAGTGACTTAGGACCTTTTTCCACACTAGCAGCATCCCCCTTCATGGTCACGTGATCAAAATTCAGACGCTTGGCAACCGGTTTCATATTTACGACGGTCGCAGCGTCCCCCGGGGTCACGCGATCCCCTTTTGCAACCTTCGGCCAGGCAAATCAATGGGGAGGCCAGATTGACTTAACAGCCGTGTTACTAATTTAACAGCTGCAAGGATTCATTTAATTCAGTGGTTCTCAACCTTTTTAATGCCGCGACCCCCAACCGGTCGTAAGTCGAGGACTAAACCGGTCGTAAGTTGAGGGCTACCCAACCGGTCGTAAGTCGAGGACTTTCCCTGCCGGGAGCGCCGCGCATACGTGGTGCTGCCCCCTGCGCCGGCCGAGGCGTAGCTGGCAAGCGGCAGAGACGGAGCAGGCCGACCACCAGCTGGGCCACCAGCTGGCCCAGCCCAAGGGAGGTAAGGCACCC